ATATGCGAAATCACATTTTTTGTCATTTTTCAATACCCATCATTGCAGCCAAGAGAGTCAATAGATCTATATATCATATATATATTGTGGATGAATACATTTGTTTCAGCAATTTACTGACTATATGCTTTATATGTCTCTGCTTTATGTATAGTTTTAGCAATAGAGAAAATGTATTGTTTCCTCAATTAAAAATTGAATCAGTCCAGCACATTAAACTGGATAGATTTTTTTTTAAATCGTGCAGATTTGTAAAACAGCAGATTTTCTTTTATGAATAAAAAAAGCTGTGAGAAAGTAATCAAAAATGAAAATGTTACAGTATGGATTCAATTGTTTTTCTTCTATTTTCTTCGTGCAAAATATCAATTAAAAAATTCTGATGAAAATATTTGTATGTTTTTTTATCCTATCATTTTGCGTCACTGTGATAAACTCCCTTTTTGTTGACAACCACGTTGTTTTGTTGATATTCCGTTTTCTAAATATACAACATTGCAATCTCTACCCAGAGTTGTCGTGCAAGGACCGTAACTCTACGTGATAGTCTCGTTCAACCAGACTCTTGTTGTCTGCGCAAGCGTCTGATTGACCAAGACTATACTGCCGATACAATAATTTTTCGACCATTCAGAACTAGAGCAATGTAGCCGGTAACGTTATGTCAAGAGAGTTTACATCTTTAACCGGAAAGTATCAAATATTTAAGTATCCTATAGTTAGATATGAGTTTTAAATCTTACAAAAATGTAACGTTTGTTCGAGATTCAGCAAACGAGAACTTGTTTCGAGATCAAGATGGCGGAGACTACAGCGCGTGCGACCAGCGGCCATGTTAAGACAAGTTTTTCAGTTCCATAGGTATTGTGAATATTCTTTATTTTTCTTACATACGTGTTACCTATAGGGAGAGCTTCGCTCTCACGGGCCCTTTGGGCCCGTGAGAGAGCTCCGCCCTCTATTAAAATAACAATGGCTAACATCAAAATAGGTGTGAACTAGTAAGCAAACACTCAGACTTAGATACAGTGTAAATATGCAATGCAGACAGAGGAACTGTTGAGGCTATCGATGAGTAAATTCCAAGGGTTATTCTTAGTTTGCCATGCGAGACCACAGGTCCCTAAAGTTGTATTAAGTTGATAAAAATATAGTCGCAGATTAAAGAATATCCACCAAAATACCCCTTCTTTGTGTTTAAAAACATAGAGGTGGTATTTTCTACACTCAAGGACTACAGTATTATTATCAGATTATAACAAATTATTAACTTAGGGAGTACTGTACAGGTCCAGTAGGCAGTACACTCTGCCGATTGATCATGAGCTATATAGTTATAAAGACCTATATAGCTATATACACCTATAAATTATAGCTGTATTGAGCTATATTTTCTCAGATTTCAATTTTCATTGAATTAAAGGAAAGTCGCATAAAACAATAAGGTTTATGGTTATGTTGACTACAAAAAGCATACAGTTAGATGTTTATTTTCATTTTTCATTAATGTAAAATTTCCAATTTTTTTTACATCATTAATTTTTAAAAAGAATCCTTATATTTAATGTCTTTTTTTATCACCCTAATGATACAATCTTCTTTTAAAAGCGACTTTGTTTCGTTTTCCTTAAAAAAGAAAATTTCCTTAAAAAAGAAAATCACTTGAAAATAGCTCAAAAGACCTATTTCAGATAGGTCAATACAGCTGTTATAGGTCTTTACAGCTATATAGCTCAATCGGCAGAGTGTACTGGACCTGCTGTATATATTCTACTACCTATTTATGACAAAATTCAACAGGCTAAGGAATATGCCATGTCCTGCTTTGGTGAACAAGATAGAGTATCTTGTATGAATAAGTCGATAATTATAACGCCTCCCTATCAGAGAGACCACAAGAGTGTTACATTCTGTCAATGAAAAATAATAAACAAACCTATAACACATTGTATGGTAAAAATATATTCTTTAAGCATAATATTATAAGGCATTTTTTATATGACTGTCTTAATTAATCATTGAGAGAATTTCAGGCTACTTTGACAGAGACCTGATAAGAGGTCAAGTAACGGGCAGTCACACAACTTCCGGTATGGATATTATATAATTATAATACATTTATATGTGGCAGATGTTAATTGTACATACAATGTAGGGTTATTGTCGTCTTCTAGTTTCGCACTAGAGGAAATTTAGGTCAGTGGTGGAGTGTCCAAATAGGAAGTCTTGGATCACAAGTTTGATCCCCAGTGGAATTCGAAGCACACTACTCTTTCCACATTCACATTTTGAACCTTTTGATTACTACATGTGAAAATTTCCAACTGGTAACAGTTCTGAAATATTTATATTGTATTTGTCTATATTAAATCTATATAACCTATAAATAAATATTCTTGTGTATAGATATTTTCACACTAATATACTCATTACACAAATATAACATGAACATTTTTACCTTGTGAAAATTTCAACTTTTACAATACAAAAATGTAGACAGTTGCTGTGTATGCAATTTCTGTCATAAAAATATGCCTTTTCCAGATATCAATTATTCTTTGAGTAAATTAAAGTAATGTTTTCTTATATTTAAATGACAATGTTGTTTGAGTATTGATAGCACCTGTTATTTTCTGTGTTTTTGCAGGAATAATGCACATATTTATTCATTATTTTTTCCATAATAAACCAGGTTAAAAAATTTCCTCTATTTTGAACTGTTGTGGTGGGTTTTTTGGAAGACACAGATGGATATTTAGTAGCTGAAAGAAAGACCATTTGTCTGATCCTATATTTCTGCTTCAGTTACTGACTACAGACAAGCTACATGTAACTGATGTGGCAAAGAGGGAGAGATGTGTGTGTCCCAGCTGGCCGGCCTCTGTAACCTCGATGGACACACTGATGAAGAATGTGTACGCGTTTGCTGACATAGTACGCCAGGCAGGCGGCGATGCTATCACTCGCTGGAATGACAAATCTGTTAACAATGCATTTAACTGGGCCAGTTACTGTCAAAGGGTAAATTCTTTCATAACAAAACTATTCAATGGACCAGCTTTTTATGATTTTTTTGTTGTTGTTTCCATTAAGTAACATCTTGACACTGTCCCAATTTGAAGAAAAAATGTTCTTCAATGTCCTACTCTACTGACACACTGTTCCCATCCAATATCAGTTTATTTTGTTCCCATTTAGAAACATTTTGTTTTATTCCACTTTTTAACATTTTCTCCCTCCAGTTACACTTAACCCCTGTGGGTTTCACCTACATTTTGAGACCCAAATGCAATGCAATTGGTTATAAGACTCATCATCATTTTGAAAATAATGTTCAGGATTCAATGAAAGAAAACATCCTACAAATAAAATCACTATTTTATAATATCCCAGGAAGGGGGCTTTCAATACCCCCCACCCCCAACCCCTATCTAGCGGTACTTTGTTTCATTTCACATTTCAGTTATATTTCCCCTGTCTATTGACACTTCAACCACCAAATAACACTTTGTCCCTGTCAAATAAGACATTTTATCCCCACTCCATTTTGTGTCCCAATGACACACTGTTCTACTGTATGAAGCTTCATCTGCATCTGTGTCGAATGACATTTTGTCAGCCCTTTCCATTGGTCAGTTTGTCAACCCCTTCTTCAAAGACGCTGTACTTCCCTCCTACAATGACTATTGCTCTGGTTTACATTTTAGGTTTACCATGAGACAGTTGGGCGACCATACCGGGCTGAGCTGGACAGACACATCAAGGCCTTGTCTCTGTATATGCCCAGTCCTTGTTGTGTGGACCTGAGCCTGAATGCCCTGCAGCATGCTGACATACTTATCACACAGGTGATTTTCTTTGTTCAGATCCTGCCTCCATTAATCATGGAAATTCACAATCTGGACAATCATTCTTTTTAACAGATTTCCACACAAGGGTTATTGTACTTAATACTTTGGAGATCGATGTGCCATGCATAGGATATATATAACTCACTTTGAAGTTACATGTAAAAGGGGTCAAATGTGCTAAAAACTCCAAAAAAACTCATCTTAAGATATAGTGCCTCTAGCCTGTACTCCCATAACATGAGAGGCCGCTGGTCAGCCTTTTTTCTATCGGATATGATTTTGCCTACTTCTTGATAATCAATTTGTATGGTAATCCTTGTATCTTTCCAGACCCTGGTAGACAATCCTTTGCTGCCTGCTAGACTACTGGAGTGTATTGTTGACACATGTGTTAAATCTGAGGCTAGCCTGGATTCTCTTGTGAAGGTATACATAATAATCTCATTCCTCAATGACTGATAAGCGTTCCTGTGAATTCACACATGGATTTGGGGACTTTCTGTAATGTACATCATGGAATATATAAAGGTCAGCATCTGGTACATCTGGTTGACATTTGTCTTTTACCTTTACGTTCGGTTCATGTCTTTTTCCTTTAACATGCTTTATTGACTTTTTGTTGGCCCTAATAACCTCTTTTGTGTTGATGGGCTGTTAAGAATCCCATAACTAGCTAATGAAAAGAATGTAATCCTTGAAGTTCGAGTCACGACACTGTGTTGTATCTTTGAGCAAGATACGGCCTTTACTCCGCTTGTTCCAGTCTACTCAGCTGTAAATGAGTACGTGGTTGGGCAGTGCTTGAAATGTAGAATGCTAGCTGTGAGCGCCAAAATGGCAGCAACGGCTGTATGCTACCCAGGGAGTTGAGAAAGATATTGGCTGGTTGCAAAGGCCCTATAACCACGGATAATAATTTGTGAACCGCTTTGAGACGACCTACAAATTACATTATTATTTTAATTGATTTTGAGCTGACTCTGATTGGCTGAAACAACATCATGTGACCACCTGTAAAAGTAGTTATAAACCTGAGTGGTTTGCAGGTGTTCAAAAAAGTTGGTAGAAAAAGTGTTATTGACCTGCTATAAATAGATTCTGGAATTTTTGTGAAGTCATTTAGATGATTAACACCTCATGGGAGATGAACACAGTAATGATCAAGATTAACACTGCAAGTCACTTATTGCAGATATTTAAATGATTATTGCAGATTATTGCAGATATTTAATTAAAAAATGTTATTTTTCTGATATTTTTGTTTAGTTAATTTTAAAATTTGTGACTAAAAAAAATGGAAATTACATTTTTTTCTGATATTTTGAAAAAATCAATTAAATTAATAATACTATTGTAGCATGGTGATTTCGGTCGATACATGGTTTTATCGACCTAGGTTAGCAATATTGACCTCGGACTGCATCCTTGGTCAATATTGCTAACTTAGGTCGATAAAACCATGTATGGACCTCATCACCATGCTATAATTGTATATTATGTACTAGGTTGTGATGAAGCGGTATATAAGAACCTCAAATTATTATTATTAAAATTTATTATATTGTAAGAAAATTGGTGCACCGTATGTCTTGTTTCGTAAATTTAGTGCCCTTTTTTGATGCAGGCTGCAGTTGCCAGTCATCAAACTGTTGTCAATACAGGGAACAGTTGTCTGCCTTTTGACATGGTGGGTGCTCTTTGTTTAAGCAGGTGTGTGGTGAGAGTTGTGAGAACAGTATTGTTGTCCACACCTTGGAGGAAATTCTTGACCACCTTGGAGTGTCCAGTGAGGATTGTAGACTAGAGAGCCAGGCGGAAATACTGCTGACCATTCTTACATCACAATACCAGTATTCCAACAATAAGGAGAGGTCAGTAGTCTGGAAAACACAACCTAAATGTCACTAGCAAAAATATTTTGAAAAACTTTATCAATATCAGTTAGGTAAATAAAATAAAGGCAAATTATGAATTGTTGAAAGAAGGTTAAAGAATGTGCTTATTAGAATTTAATGTTGATAGTGTAATGTACTGTTACCAAAATTCTGAAAAATAAAAACTTACAAAAATTAAAAATATTTTGAAAGTCTCAATATTTTGGCACATTTACACCTGGGTAGTGATATGGATTGATTTTCACCTCCAAGCATGGTGATACAAATGAAGCTAGGTGTGCTTGTATACAGGTGAGAAATTAAGGGGAGATAGCTGTTTATAGGAAAAGCCACAGTGCAGTGGGACAGGGGTCCTTAAGCATATAAAACACTATTTATTAGCTCACCAGGGTGCCGTTTCACAACGCGTACGTAAAGTTACAGGTACCCGTAAACCGTACGTAAGTTTTTTGGTCCGTTTCACGACGTACACATTAGTTACGAGTGCACGTAAATAAGTTACGGATACCCGTAACTTACGCCTAAAACCTCACGTAACTTACGCCAACAAATACCTGCCGTAAACCACACGTAAGTTTACGTTCAGACGTCATAAAAGGAAACAAATGACTGCCGTATTGTGTCGTGTTAAATAAATAAACTCAAGTGGGCATTACATAGGGGATGAGTGTGTCTAAACCAACAAATCACAAGTAGGGGGCCAAAAGTACCGTATCTTCCCAATATTTTACTTGGATGGTAACAGCGACGTTATATATTCCATGCATTTCTAGATATATTTCATGATTTTTAATGATGAGTTTTGTGATGAAATTGAACGAAATTTTAATTTCATAAACGATGATATTTATTTCAAAATACTTCAATATTATTTCGTTAGCTGATTTTGAAGATATGATATAATATTTCGCTTAATAATTATGCAAGTCGTTGTTCATGTTTAACTTTAACCTGATTATATCAGAAAAAATGAATTTCTGCAAATTTGCTATCCATTTTAAGAAAAAGTATAAAATTAATATGAAATAAAAATGTGGGAAATTCTATTTCACGGTATATCAAATTTTGTTTTTATAACATTTCGGATTAACTTTAAGATGATTTAAAGAAAAATGTGTAGAAATGTATGAAAGATGTTGTATGCAATGACGTGCCGTACATGTAAGTCTTCAACGTTACGTCATTATCCCATTGGGTTGTATGTTATTTTACTGGGGGGCTTTCCAATAATTTCCCCTGGCTTCGTTGTTTGATTTTAATGACATTTTGCGTACATCTGCAGTATTATCCAAAGCTTCCGTTAATTAGGTTAATGTTATCACCCATTTCTTAAGTTTTTAACCATAATGAGTAAATTGGCCATTGTGTCCTATTAGAAAGACGTCAACAGTAAATTTGATGAAAACTGTTATCTCAATAACAGAACCTTAGATAATTATGTACATGTAAATACTACTAGCAAGAACAACGTGTAATTTTCTGGCAGGACGTTAAGTATAAAAATTGGATGTCAAACAAATTCATGAAATTTATTGAAAAAATGTTGATAGATGCAATGGAGAAATGACGTATCGTGAAAGGCTTATGACGCGTCACTAACGTATATCAAAAAAGAGTAAGAAATTGATCATAATCTGCCCAAAAAATCACGAACTGTTGTGTCATTTCGTTCTGTCTTTGGATTCCAGAGTTCACATTACCCAACCTTGGCGCACCTGTTGCAAATATTTTTGTAATTGAAAAAAATATGAAAGTATGTTAGAAAATGGTTGTTTTATAACGATTTGATCCCGATATAATTGTCATTCGACGAGTACCGCTTTGTGAAACTGTCCGCCAACCGACCTGATCCCTACCACTGATATCTAGACAACCCCTCATCTCCGATTATAGTTTGTACATGTAGATTATGCAATGATTCAGTAGTTGAAAGGAAAAGCAACGGCAAGAAAGTTAAAGTCGACGGAAGTTATGTTTGAAGGTAACTTAACGTTTAACTATCCGCTATCTTGTCGCTGTGATATTGTTATGGTGCTTCTCTTACAACACGTCGTAAGTCTGTCAATCTAAATTCTTTGGTGGGTTTTTTAAGAGGATACACTTTTACTGTGTTGCATCCTTATAGTAACAATACCTACACAATTAATTGGCTTATGTTTGACTACTGATTCCGGTTCACCCCAAGAGTCCGCGGCAATTCCAAATCCAAAAGCTTATTTTTGTTTGTAAACTTTCAGTTACATGTAATATTTGCCCAGTGTTTTATTGTGGCCTCTATAATTATACGAATTGGAAATCATCGTGTTTGTGAAATGATAAAAATCCTCACAATTAATATTTCCATGCCTAAAAATACAACAATATTTAGTTGTATCAGAGTTTTACAAAGCAATGTACTTATTAATATTTAGTTGAACTGGCGATCAGATAGTCCCAATAATACAAGTACTGTGACGGACTTAAAATTTATTCCGTGGTACTGTCAAATGTACGATATTAAATGTACATGTACTTGACAGTTGTTATATTTCTAATTCTAAATTGGCATAATATTGTTATGTTTATATATATATATTTTTAACTATAACTAGATAACTAATAAGTGGCATCTTTTGAGTTGTTCTTTCAGATGAAATCATCAGATAATAGAAAATAGGAATAGTTGAAATAGCTGAATTTCAGGGTTCAAAATCGGGAATCTCCTTCCAAAATAGGGAGAGTTGGCAAGTATGGATTTGTAGAATATGATAGGTTTCTTCATCATTACATTTATATTGTTAATATATGTAAAAATTACACAGTTGCTACATGTACGACATGACATTAAAAGAAAAGGCCCGGGCGATTCAAATACTTCTACCCAGCTGTACCGGGCTCTCATGTGCTGCCTCGGGTTCTACGGGGCTCTAATTAGTTTCACTACTGACACTAGAGAGTTCCACTTCTGAAAGTTCTGGCCACCTCATAAATGGAAATATTCCAATGAGAATCGCCGTATGTTAAGTCTAAAGAAATCATTGAATGGTTAAGATTGTAACCGCTTTAAACCTAAGGATCATCACATCATGTTGGATTATTCACTTCCGGTATAATTCACGTGCACGTAAACCCGTACGTAAATGTGAAAAGTTACGTACGGTTTCGTGAAACACCCCTTACGTAACTTACGTGCACTAAGTTACGTGCACGTTAATATTTACGGGTACCCGTAACTTCACGTACGCGTCGTGAAACAGCACCCTGGGCCGAAGGGCCAAGTGAGCTTATGCCATGGTGCATCGTCCGTCTGTCCGTCCGGCGCCCGGCGTCAATATTTTACTGTAAACAACTTCTTCTTAATAACCAAAAGGCCTAGGGTGATAATATTTGGCCAGAAGCAAACTAGGATGAAGGGCTACCAAGTTTGTTCAGATAAATGACCTTCACCTATTTTCAAGGTCACAGGGGTCAAAAACTTTAAACAACTTCTTCTGAATAACCAAAATGCCCAGAGTGATGATTTTTGGCTAGTAGCATGCTGGGATGAAGGGTTACTAAGTTTGTTCAAATGAATGACCTTCTTCTATTTTCAAGGTCACAGGGGTCAATTGTCTTAAAAAATCTTTATACAACTTCTTCTGAATATCTAAGAGGACTAGGCTAATGATATTTGGCCAGTAACATGCTTGGATGAAGGGCTACCAAGTTTGTTCAGATAAATGACCTTCACCTATTTTCAAGGTAACAGGGGTCAAATATGTTAAAAACTTTTAACAACTTCTTCTGAATAACCAAAATGCCCACAGTGATGATTTTTGGCTAGTAGCATGCTGGGATGAAGGGATACTAAGTTTGTTCAAATGAATGACCTTTACTTATATTCAAGGTCACAGGGGTCAAATAAGTTTAAAACCTTTTAAACAACTTCTAATGAATAACCAAGAGGCTTAGGATAATGATATTTGGCCAGTAGCATGCTGGGATGACGGTATACCAAGTTTGTTCAAATGAATGACCTTGACTTATATTCAAGGTCACAGGGGTCAAATATGTTAAAAACCTGTAAACAACTTCTTCTCAATAACCGAAAGTCTTAGGATGATGCTATTTGGCCAGTAGCATGCTGGGATAAAGGGCAACCAAGTTTATTCAAATGAATGATGTTTTCTTATATTTAAGGTCACTGGGGTCAAATATGTTTAAAACTTTTATACAACTTCTTCTGAATAACCAAGAGACCTAGGATTATGATATTTGGCCAGTAGCATGCTGGGATAAAGGGCTATCAAGTTTCTTCAAATGAATGACCATTACATATATTCAAGGTCACAGGGGTCAAATATGTTTAAAACCTTTAAACGACTTCTTTTAAATTAGCCAAAGGCCAAGGGTGATGATATTTGGTCATTAACAGGCTGGGATAAAGGGCTACCAATTTTGTCAAAATGAATGACCTTCGCCCATATTCAAGGTCATAGTGGTCAATATATGTTTAAATCTTTAAATGACTTGTTCTGTATAACCAATAGGTCCAGGGTTGTGATATTTTGGAAGACTTTAAACACTGTTCAACCTAATGTCCTTGTTCGACATTCAAGGTCACAGGTGTCATATGTTTAAATCTTTTAATAGATTCTTATGAATCAAACACTGATATTCTGCCTGTAGCTGTATTTTAGTCCACTTTTAAGATTGTGAGATTAATACCAGGTGAGCGATTCAGGCCCATTGGGCCTCTTGTTTAATTTACCAGCTATGTGAAAGCAGTTATTTGTCGTTATATGCTTCTGGTGATTTTTGTCATCCTTAAATGTTTAGAATGTTCACTCCAGTTCAAGAACGTGTTCAAGCATCTGTCTGTTTATTGTACATGTATGGTTGGATTCTCTCATAGTTGAGTAAACTAGATAGCTGATCAACTTGGGCTCATTGATAAATCCCATGATATCAATTTATCCTAAGTGAAATTGTTTTGGAGGAAATTGACACAGGCAATCTGAAAATTGTGTGGAGGGAGTTTGGAGAAAGAAATATTGACATGTACGAGATTTAGGTCTCATTATGGTCCTAGCAGATTTAGTCAATATGACAGTTTTACATTGAGTGAAAATGCCTCCCAAAGTGTGAGAGTTGGCAGCCCTGGAAATGCAACAGGTGTTTTATCTATAGAGGTCTGTCTATTTATTGTAGATACCAGCTGTTTGTATCAGGTGTTTTGAAGCATCTTACCAGTCACAGTGATGGATGGGTGAGCATAAAAATATCCTCTCTGTTATAATTTGTTTTTGTTCTGCTGCCTCCATAGCTACCTTTTCTTTTCTCTGTGTTCTTCTTTTGAAACACCCTCCTCCTTTCCTGCTTCCTTTTCCTTTCTCTTTCTTCCCCTTCCTCCAAAAAATGGGGGATGGGAGCATATAGTGATACCCATATCTGTCCCTTCGGATTTCCCGTAATTCTTACTGGTCAATTAAATATTTTAGTATGAAATCAAATAAAATAATTTGTGATGTCATAATTGCATTATGATGTCATGAATCACACTGACTGGTGTTGAGATCATACACTGAAATCATGAATGAACCAAAAAAATGGGCACAAGTATGAATGTTATTGGAGCAGAGATCCCCATGATGATTATAAAACATGTAACATTGGTGAGTTAACTCTTGTTATTAAACATGATACATGAGAATCAACTACTGTGAAGTAATGTATTTTGAGGGGGATTTCTTTTTATTGATTTCACCGACAAACTTTTATCAATGAAGTCATATGTTACATTAAACTTACGTGATTATAACTTTGGCTGATTACATTTTTAGCCCACCATCATCTGATGGTGGGCTATTCAAATCACCCTGCGTCCGTGGTCCGTGGTCCGTGGTCCGTCGTCCGTCCGTAAACAATTCTTGTTATCGCTATTTCTCTGGAAGTATCAGAGGGATCTTTCTCATATTTTATATGCAGGTTCCCCTTGGTCCTTAGCTGTGCAGGGCAACTTTTGAGACTGATCGGATAGACAACATGGCCGACAGGCAGCCATCTTGGATTTTGATAGTGAAAGTTTGCTATCGCTATTTCTCAAGAAGTACCAGAGGGATCTTTCTCATATTTTATATGCAGGTTCCCCTTGGTCCTTAGCTCTGCAGGGCAACTTTTGAGACTGATCGGATAAACAACATGCCCGACAGGCAGCCATCTTGGATTTTGATAGTGAAAGTTTGTTATCGCTATTTCTCAAGAAGTACCAGAGGGATCTTTCCCAAATTTTATATGTAGGTTCCCCTTGGTCCTAAGCTTTTCAGGGCAACTTTTGAGA